ACTCCGGGAAGCAATTTTATTCAATGAAAGATGAAATTCAGGAGCAGAACTGAGGTATATATGCTCCTTCCAGACTAGGAGTCATTGCTAGCAAATTTTTGAGCACTAATGCTGAGGCCAAATTGAATTTGGACTGATAGGAAAATCATGTTATGTGATGTAGTTTCAATCTTTGCCCCTTCCTGAAATTAATGACAATATCTGAGACAATCAATGAAACATCATCTGGCTGTTTGAGCAAGGTGAAAAACATGAGGCAGAGGGAGASTTAGGTGACAACAGGAAAGACAGAAATAATCCTATTAAAGACATACAAATAACAAGAGTTTAAAATGAGAAAGGGGAGAGCATGGCAGCTGCTGCTGAGAAACCAAAGCAGTTAAGAAATAGCAGTGGAAATCCTGTATCTCCAGATTTATGAAAATGTCACAGTCATTATGAAATCCCAGATAGCATCAGAAAAGTTGTTATACCCAACTGTAAAGGAAACTGGTCAACAAATGAGAAGGTGCTCAAAGGAYACACAAGGTTTTCCTTTGTCTTTAATACATACTGGAAGCAATTTCTTCATTTACCTGGCGGGAGAAGCACCCCAGAGCTAAACAGAGCCTATCCCTTCTGTCTGCATCTGACATCCCAAAAATTTATTCTTATCCTATGCAAACAGTCAGACATGTTGCAAGTGTCTTTGATTTAGAACTTCAGTCCTGAGCCCAGAGCTCTTCCAAGTTCCTGATTTTGTATCAGGGTGGGACCTGTACCTGCACCAGCTTCAGCCTCTGCTCTGCTTTCCACAAAGGSAAAACCTGGTAGAGTGGGTAAGGCAGGAGCCTCACTGTACTCTGAACAGGTTCCCAATCTGCATGCCCAGGAATGTGGCCCCAGGGATTTCCATGATCCTCTGTTCTCCCAGCCAGGTAAGGCTGACACATCCCTCTACTGTCCCTTTGTCAAACGCTAAATTATTTTGTCTTGTGATAAAAAATCCATTCTACCTGCTCAAAACAGGAGTTTATAGTAAAATTGTTTTGGATAGCAAAGACCTGTCGAGTTCYCTAAGAAAATCTAATTGCTAAATATTAAGTGATGAGTAACCATACTGACCCTGGGTCAATACTAAATCCCTATCATAGGAGGGAACCAAGGGGATCAGTATTTGAAATATTCCAATACCATAACTGAAGCATGAGCTGCACTCCCTAGAAAACACAGCTGGTGAGTGGGTACAGCTTTTGCATTTCCCTTTCTTCCCCATCTCACCCCAAACCATTCTCTTCATTTTAGAAGAGATAGAAAAAGTGAACATAGATGTTCACTTAACAAAGGGAGATTGGTGTCGGGGATGAAAGTATGCAAGTGTTCTGGTTACTGCTAAAGAAAGGGACTTTCTAAAAAATGTTTCAAAATCAGGTATTATTATTGATGCATATTTCAGAAAGTATATATTGAAAAATGAAATTAGCGCAGTACAGTTGATAGCAGCTCTATGAAAACACCCAGTAACACCAGAAAGCAAAAAAATAAACCCAAAAAACAAACAAACAAACAAAAAAAACCCAAATCAAAAAACCCAAAGCATTTAAACTCTTGAAACATTCAAAGTTTCTAAGCCATTATCTAAAAMATCTGAAGGCAAAACTTCATGAACAATGGGAATTTACATCTGGTTTACATTATTGATCAAAATTAAGCAAAAAGCTTAAAATCATTTCTGAACTATGACACATGCACAGATTATCACATCAAATCGCAAGAGAAGAAATGAGCTAACCCAAAAATGCTTATACAAAGGATTTCCGCATTCTTAAAATATTTTTTCCTGGCTTAACACAACCAGAGTTTATAGCTAGTCTTCCACGAATTTGCTAGTGTTGGAAACTGAATGTTAAAGAGAGAAAAAGTTCACTCTAAGAGCACTGCTCGATGCTCAAAGGTATTATTTTGTTTGCTGGGGGAAGGTTGTGCCCTTAGAGAGGACAYGGAGTGCGTGGGGCAGGAGCTGGGATAGGAGAAGGGGCTGGACTGAGGCTGGAGCCGCTCCAGCGGCAGTTGGGTTCCAGTTTTTACACCGGCGCCAAAATTCAAACCGCGCACTGCGCTGCACTGCACCGCAACTCCCGAGCGCGCCTGAAACAAAGAGCAGCAGGCGGATGGGGCAGATCCGACTGCCCTGCCAACAGTGGCCACAGCACTCTGGGATTTGTAGTCTCTTCTGCGTCCTTTTCCAGATTCAGTCAGGACGCTGAGTTTCGCCCCGAGTSGCACATGGTGTCAGCAGATCTCACTGTCGGCAGTGACCCTCACGTACGGAGGTTGTGCCTTTCAGAAAGCGCACGGGGAGTGATCTTGCTTCCATTTGAGGTGTCACTCATAAACATCCTGCAGGTAACTCAGTGATACCCACAGGCTCCTTGGAACCGCCTGCCCGTCACTCATGAACATCCTGCAAGTAACTCACTGATAGCCACAGGTCACTCATGAACATCCTGCAGGTAACTCACTGATACCCACAGGCTCCTTGGAACCGCCTGCCCGTCACTCATGAACATCCTGCAGGTAACTCACTGATAGGCACAGGTCACTCATAAACATCCTGCAGGTAACTCACTGATACCCACAGGATATCAGGTATCACTGATATCCAACAGGATACCCTGACAGGCATTCTGCTGCCTCACAGCAACAGGACAACTCCTTCTGTATGAGACAGATACATTCAGGTGAAAACCTGTGATTTACTTATTTCTAAACAGACTTATTTGCCCATGAGGATATTGAGCATCGAGAATTCCTGGCTATATTCCAAGGTTTTCCAGTTTGAGGTGTACTCGATACTAGGACTTCACATGAAGTCCTCTTTAGTTCTATTTTGAAACCAAACACCTACCTTTTCACCCTGGGTCCCTAAGTTTTACATTGTGTGCTGTATTTTGTTGCCATCTTTCCTCTTTCTCTACCCAGACCTGTGCTCTCACCTTTGCATAATGCTCTTGCTACTCTTTCTCTTTGCTCTTCATACAGATGACAGATTTGGGTGATTTTCTTTTTACTTCACAGGCAGAAAATCTCCTTTTTCTCAGCCTTCCCTTGTAGCTAAATGGGACAAGGCCAGGAACAGCTTTGGGAATTGTAATCCAGTTTACGCTAGTTAATGTGCAAGAACTGACAGAACTTGGAGTCTTTAAGAAAACTACTACTCCAAATATTTAGGAAGAGAAAACTTGTCAGTAGATTTTAGTTTGTACAAAGTTTGACTACATAATCAAAAAACATCACTCTTTAGGCACTCATAAAAACATCAACCTTGGGAACTTGGACACAYATTTTCTTAATTTCAGCACTGAGCTGGACCCTGGCCTGTGCAAAGCCAACAGCAAAGCGCAGCAAAATCACACAACCCACAGAGGGCTGTGGACAATGGTTCAGGAAACTACAGTGTGATGCCCAAAAAAGGCCTAGAAATAAAACCCCATAGACCGGTGTCTGTAGAGCAGGTATTTGTTTATTGCAGCACTRGAGGTGAGGGGGATTTCTCCTCCCAACCCACCCGCCTTTGCTTCAAATTAGCACATATTTATACCATAAGCATGGTGTAACATTACCATTGTCACTGCCCCCCATACGCCCACCATACACCCACCTCCATACATGAGCACAGAAATACCTGATATCAAAGTTTTACAAGTGTGCATGTGTCATCCTCAATTCAGTGGTCGTGGGGGTCTCCCTCTAATGAGATCCCATCCTCTTCATCATGGTGGACTTTTCACCTTTGTCTTCAGGACATGCGCCATTGTGGTGTTCATGGTTTTTTCTGGTCCTCCAAGTCTTCATTTTCAATTATTTTGCTGACTGTCCCGTGCTTCTGCCAAGTTCTCATTAGTGCTCTCCACTGTTCCTTGTTATAGCATCTACCTGTCTACTTTCTTCAGAACTCTTTCTGATTTATGCCTCTTGGTGATTTCATATATCTATGTACTAATCCAGCTGGTTAGATTACGTGCAGCTGGTATACTATATGCTGCTAATACACTATTAAAAAACTTATAGCAATATATAAAAAAGCTGTCATTGACAATATATTGAAAGTGATTACATTGGATTTTAATAATATGTAAAAAGTTATTACATTCTTATATTGATAATGTATAAAAAAGGCTATAGAAAGTTTTCAATGAATAGGCCTCATAAGCACTTTGTCACTTTGATATAGACCATATGTATTGAAAGGAATGAGAAGGTAGTGTCTTTACAAACAGACTGTGACTCTGGGGTGAGATAAGGCTGATATTGGGAGATAGAAAGAAACAATAGGAAGGATTTGCATAGGAATTCTACTGATTGGCTTACCCCAGTCTATGTTAATAGACTACCAGAGCAGAGACTCAGAGATTGATATTGAAAGGGGGCAATTTATGATAAAAGGCGGGTTTCATCAGGCGTTTTGGGGAGCCTGTAACTTTCAAGTACCTCAGCCAATGGGGAAAGAGAGAGGGAACTGTGGCCGGGAAATTGGGATAAAAGGAGGCTGCGTCCTCTATGAATTTGAGAGACCCCATGGGAAATGCCCATGACCTCTCCCTTTATTCATGAATAAAGTTGCGGGACTCCTCTGTCTCCTTTTTCGACATAAACCTCTGGTGCTTGTGGATTAATTTTCCTAACAGTATCAAGTGAAAACACACGAATACACCCTGTCAGGGAACCCGTCACCCCACAGGCCCGAGCCCTGCGGGGCTACCATGGCCGCAGCTCCGGCAGGAGCGAGAGCGGGTGAAGGTCAGTCAGGCCTGCCCGTCGCTCCGGTCCCTTCCGTCTCCAAAACCTCTCGGTGTCAGCCCCGGCCCCGCGCCGGTTCCGTCCGAGCCGCACCGGTGAGAGGGGAATTCTCCCCCGCGGTTCCCGACCCAGCGCGAAATGGCGGTCACGGCCCGGCCCCGCGGCCATCTTGGCGGGCGGACTGCATGTCCCAGGCGGCGCCGCGGCGGGAGGAGCCGCCCGCCCGCCATCTTAGCGCTCCCTCCCCCGGTGCGGCGGGATTGAATGAGTCGCTGTCCGCCCGCCTGCCAGCCCAGCGCCATGTCAGGCACTCCGAGCCGCGGCACCCCCGGCGGGACTCCGCTCTCGCCGACTCGCATCTCCCGGCTGCAGGAGAAGGAGGAGCTGCGGCAGCTCAATGACCGCCTGGCTGTTTACATCGACCGTGTGCGGGCGCTGGAGCTGGAGAACGACCGGCTGCTGYTGAAGATCTCGGAGAAGGAGGAGGTCACCACCCGGGAGGTACGGCCGGGAGTAAGGGGCGAGCAGCGATGGCCCGTGGTGTCCCCTCAGCGCCCCGTCTCCGTCCTGGGGTGGATCCGCGGCCCGGGGCTCGCCGGGCCGGTTCCCGCCCGTTCCCTGCACGGCGCGGGGCGGTGTGGCGGCTCCCTGTGGCGGCTCCCTGTGGCCGCCCCGCCATGCGCGGAGAGCGGGGGCTGTGCAGCCCCAGCGCTACCGGAGCGGCTCCCCTCAGGGCTGCCGGGGGCTCTCTGGCCGCAGGGTCGGGATGAGAGGCCGCTGGAGACACATTCGAGGCAGCTCAGGCCGGGATTCGGCACCGGCAGGAGTGGCGGGAGCGGAGCGGGGCGGACGCGGGGCTGTGGGCGGCGTTGGAGGCTCCCGGACCGGCCGAGCTGAACGCGGAGCCCCGCGGGTCCCTTGGCTCGGGCGGGGCTCGGTCGGGGCCGCGGGCGGTCCGAATCCTCCGTGCCCCGCGCCCACAACACACGCGTCCCCTGGTACTGGGGTGCTGGGTGTCCTCTACAGCCTCCGTCTTGACGGCTGATGCGATGGGATGGGAGGTTTGAAAGGATTTAGACTGACTTTGACTCTCACCGTAGGAAATCTTTTACAGACCCCATAAAATACGCGAGATCAAATCCTTGTAAGTGACTGATTTGTTTCCTGGAATCTTGGAAGCAAAACTGGATGATTCTCTTTTCCTAAGCCTTGCTTTCCCCTATTCTGTGATGTCTGTTCCCCCAGGACTCTCCTTTCCTTATGGCGGAAGGATGTAGTCGGTGACACAGTGGGGACAGTCCCATTCATCCTGTGCAAGCCCAAACCCCTCAGCAAGGTGCGGTGTCTCACCGCTGRTGTGGTGTTAAAGTGCTGGGGAAAGCTATCAATAAACACTGTGGACTGTAACTTCTRGGATATGATGGATTGCTATGCCACCGTGTAGCTTTAATTTTTCTTTTCTTTTTCCTTCTTTCACCCCCTAAGACGCTGATTTGATGATGGTTGGGATGGTGGGAGGAGAATTCGGTTTCATTTAGTTTAACTAGAGCAGGTACGTTAATGTCTTATTTGAGGAGTGGCTGGAATAACTGCAATCAGTGCATATATACCCAAAACGGAAGTACCTTTATAGTCCCTTTGTATCACTTAACGATATGTTGTAACTTCCATGTTTTCAGAATAACTAGACATTTCTAAGCGTGAAACATCACTTACCCTGTGAAATCATGCTATAAACAAAATAATCTCATGTARTTTAGGCAACTTCTAAGCTGTAGATCGCTGGAGGCTAGAAGGAGTATGCCTTTGAAATGCAAGAGGCAAAATGTAATTGTGTTGACAGTGCATATGTAGCAAGAATAAGAGGACAARCAGACAACATAGATATAATCTCATTAGACTTTTAACATGAGCATTAACCAGCTCCTAATAGCAGTTCTGTATGCTAGCAATTCTGGAAAGTATTCTGATGTAGTAATTGGACCATAGACTTGAGAATTTTGATAGGAACCTTTTGGTTACTTTGCCCTTGAGCTTTCCTTCTCAGGCTGTTTCATACAGACTTCAAAAAGATCTTAATCCTTAGATATATTGTAACAAATTTTGTTAGGATTCATCAAACCCTTCTTTGGCACTGATGCTTTGGCTTGTCTCTGGACCACCTTTGTTAAATACTTTCCTCATCCCTTTAGAAAGGTCTGTTTATTCTTTACATATATCCTCAAAAGGAAACTCGTTTTATTGTTTTAATGCTGGTTTTATTGTTTTAATGCTGGTTTAGGACTGTGGAAGCAGTGAAACTTCACATGGCTGTTAGACTTTGGTTTTACTGGAATGGGAAAATCCTAACCTTTCACTTTCAGCACCAGTCTAGTACACTGGATTTTCTGCTGACAGTTCAGTTTTCTTATTAATTGTTGGAATTCAAATTCATAAAATGATTAGTCTTAGTGTGAAAAAAGATAATTTAACAGAAACCTTCCAAATACCRAAAAAAATCTCCCAAACAAACCCCAAAGGAGCTCTAACATCTGTGTAAAAGCAAAGTTAAACATAGTCCASTGATATTTGCATACTGTTTGTATTATTATATCTGTCTATATTACTGTTTATATATTTGTCTTAATTACTATCTATATTATTATATCTTTGTATATATAAACTTCWAAGTTCTACATGCTTATAGGAGACTATTTTTCCACAGTGTTCAAAATGAAGATTCCCATTGGTTGTCSTCAACTGTGTGTAAATTTGAGTCTGATCTTATTTATTATTTCTAAAAGCTGACTGAATATTCTATTCTTTTTGGCTTATCTTTGGTAATGGCAGACAACATCATCTGCCTCTGTGGTAGGTGGTGTGATATGCATTGTAGGAAGCAGGCAGGAGAGACAGCTCACTAGTGGGCTCTTGGTTACTACCTGAGACTTGTGCCTAGAGAACAAATGATGAGTCTTTGATTCAAGGTGAATTTCTCAAGGTTGATTTTAGCTATGGCAAGCAGTAGRTAGAACCATGGTATCATGAGAGTGATATTTGTCCTTCGCTTGTCACTCCAGTATCCTACAGTGACCATAGCTGATCTGGATAAGACTGATATTGACTGATATGACATATCCTAAGTAATGGGTGACCATTCCTGACACCCCATCCCCACCCTGCATGCATGGGAACAGTTTTGATCTGTGCTCAAAACTCTGGGTTAGGGTAGTATCTTCTAGATAAGAGAAGTTCTGCTGATGCTGTTCAGGCAAGGATTGTAGTCACTGTTCTGCCAGAGATTCTTGAAGCATTATCTGGTCAGGATGTTCTTTTTCCTTGTTTGAATCACTCTTTTGGAGAAGATTGAAGAAAGCAACCATTTGCTGTCGTGTGGCAACCTCAGCATGGCCATAAGAACARCATCATTCTTGTTGTTCTTTTTGATGAACACAGGGCTTCCATCTGTTAACAGCAGGGAAAAGGAGCTTTGCAGTTGATTCATCTTTAGTTCTTTATTACAGCCTTTTTCCTAACCCTGTTCAATGCTGCTTTACCTTTACTTGTATGCAGTAGGTACCTAGACAGGTAAAAAGTGTATATAGTAAGCCCTCAGATAAATGCAAAAAAAGTTTGCAGATGTAGCTCTAACTGTCCTCATTCCCTCTGTTTGCTCTCCTCCATCATTCGCCTTGTGTAGGTCAGCCTGTTACAGAAAAGAATTTAAGCTCATCCCCTTGTTTTTCTCCATCCCAAGTACACGACTGATGCTGTTCTCACTGTGTTGTGGGTCACTGTTGCAAGAACCTAATTTGTRTAACTGGAAGAGGGGATGGATACTGGAAGGGCTAAGAGTTCTAGAGCTCTCCTCAATTCCCTTTTACTAACTCCCTGCCCTCCCCTGCAGTGTTTATGGTTGCAGCCTGCTGGAACAGATATTTTGATGGGCATGGGAGGGATTACTGCWCTATTCTGAGGACACTCCTGAAAGGTGAATTGGAGAGAAAAATAAGATCCCTGGGAGCCTCAGCCGCTGACAGCAACTGCCCTTGTGACAAAAGTAGTATCTATGGGGGTTCCCTCTTCACCTGTGTCTTCCCAGCTTTGTGGGTGTGAGTGCAAGTGGCTGCAATCTCTTGTGGTCTCCTCTTCTCTGCCAGTGTTGGAGCTACCATGACCTTTGTGTGTGTGGGAAACCATGTGCTGTGACCAGAGCTATTGTCATAACCAGGGTGTGAGGGACTGGTGTTGTCTAGTTGCCACCTGCAAAATATGTGCTCAGATGCTGCTGTAGATGTTGGGTCACTCAAGTTGCAGCCTCTAAAATATTTAGTTGAATGGTTTCCTGACACTGTAGACATCATCTGGGAGGTGACATAACACACATCTTCATTGTTCTTGAGAACTTTACTGATATTCTTGGTGAGTCTGAGCCGTAGCTGATTGGCAGTCCTTTGTCAATCTATAACTTGATATACAAGRACATAATGAGCCATACCTGGTGGGCATACACTTGTGTTTTGCACATTTATTTATGCTAATGAGATTAATATTTCATCACCAAATTTGTCTGGAGTCACTTGTGTGGGCTGGAACATGTTTCTTGCCTAGCATGTTTGTTCAGTGCGTTCTTGATATGTTTCAAGTTTTCACTGAGTGATGTCTTGCAGCTTTTCTTGAGTGGTTGCTTTGGGGAGGGTCTGTGTCTGCCCTTTACCCACTGCCCAGTGAGCTTTGAAYGCTCCCAGCACAGGTAGATAAGAGCATTCAGCAGCTGTCTTTCAGTCGGCTGTGGAAACCTCTCTCTTTTCCTTTTTCTATTTCCTCCTTCCCTGTGTTGCCTAATTACAAACTTGCAGGCTGTTTTGCCAGCAAAAGATGGGGGGGAAAAAGTGAGAGCATGTTTGTAGTGCAGTATGGGTGTCTAGCTTTGCCTCTGTGCAGAACRAGTTATGCTTGGTTGCACATGGACCCAAGCATGAAGTGGATTGGGCTGCAGTGTGGCCTTCTGTTTTTTGCTGAACTCCATTTTAAGGTTTTACTTTTATTTTTTTCATGGCCTTCAGATGGGGTTTACATTTGCAGAGTGGAAGGTGCATTKTCAGAGTGTTGGCCTAACCTGGGAAGGTTTCATCTGGTAAGGTTTGTTTCTTCCCAGGGCTTKTATTCTGGACATTGTACAGAGGCTGCTGAGGCTCACATGGCCATGTAAATTTTATTCCTTCTGCCCTTCCACAGAGAGACCAGTGATAGTGTCGGGGGGACCTGAGGAGCATCAAACATGACTACCTGGCCTTGGGCAATTGTTAGTGGCATCAGAGCCCAGGTGGTGTGGGAAGAGTGAAGGGCTTGAGGATAGCTGAGCAGATCCTGCAGCACAACTCTAGATTGCACAGCTACTGTTGGCAACAGGGTTTTGGATTCTACAACAAACCCCAAGCACAAATGCAGCCTGGGTGAAGAATGGATTGAGAGTAGCTCTGGGGAGAAGGACTTGGGGGTGTTGGTGGGTGAGAAGCTCAACATACCCCAGCCATGGTCACTGCTCCCCAGAAACCCCCCCCAGTGCTGGGCTGATCCCCCAGCGTGGGCAGCAGAGAAGGGGAAGATTCTGAATCCCCCTCTTGTGTGCCTCTCTGCCCCGCTCAGATGTGACCCCTCCTGCAGAGCTGCTCTAGCCCTTGCGGGTATCATCAGCAGAATGTAATGCTGCTGAAGCAAGTCCAGGGACATCACAGAGATGCTTCAAAACCTGGAACATCTCTGCTATGGAGATGGGCAAAGAGTTGGAGTTCTTCAGTCTGGAGAGRAGAAGACTCTGGGGTGACCTGAGAGCCCCTTCCAAGCCTGAAGRGGCTCTAAGAGGGCTGTGCAGGGACTTTGGAAAGGGTTGGGAATGGCTTCCCACTGCCATAGGGCAGGGTTATGTGGGGTATTAGGAGCAGATTCTTCCCTGTGAGGGTGGKGAGGCCCTGGCACAGGCTGCCCACAGCAGCTRTGGCTGCYCCATCCCTGGAAGTGCTCAGGCCAGATTGGATGGGGCTTGGAACAACCTGGGATAGTGGAAGGTGTCCCTGCCCATGGCAGTCAGTGGAATGAGATGGGCTTTAAGTCTCTTCCAACCCAATCCATTCTGTGATTTTCAGGACCTGCTTCAGAGAGACAGGATCCACCTGGCTAAATGCCCAGCATACAGGTGGATAACCATGTCAYATGATGGGTGAGCAACTCAYAAGTCGGGCACAAAGGGTTRTAGTGACTGGGGTGACATCAGGCTGATATTGGTCACTAATGGGGTTCCGTAGGGCTCCAGCCTCAGCCAAATTCTCWTCAACATCTTCATCAATGACCTGGGATGCAGGACTCAAAGGAATACTAAGAAAGTTTGCCAATGACACTAAATTAGGAGGAGCTGTTAACTCCCGCAAGAGCAAAGAGGCTCCCCAAAGAAACACCAACAAATGAGAGAGATGGAGAATCACCAACCATGTGAAGTTTAACAAGGACAAGTGCCAGATACTGCTCTGGGATGGGGTAGCCATTATTGTATGGATGGACTGGTGAATGAGAAGCTGGAGAGGGGCTACAGAAAGGAAGCTTGGAGTCCTGGTCAATGGCAAGTTGGATCTGAGTCAGCAGTGCCCTGGAGCCAGGAAGGGCAACTGTGTCCTGGGGACATCAGGTCACCTGGGCGAGGGAGGGCATTGTGTATCTGCTCTGTACTGGGGCAGCCTGACCTCGAGTTCTGAGGGCAGTTTTGGGCACCATAGTATATAAAAACATTAACCTAACAGAGAGGCTCCAAAGAAGGCCACGAGGATGGGGAAGGGTTGAGAGGGGAAGCTTTATGAGGAGCTGCTGAGGGGACTTGGTTTGTTCAGCCTGGAGAAGGGGAGACTGAGGGGTGACCTCAATGCAGTCTTCAGCCTCCCCATGAGGGGAAACTGAGGGGCAGACACCAATCTCTACACTCTTGTGACCAGTGATGGAGCTTAAAGGAACAGCATGAAGCTGAGTCAGGAGGTTTAGGTTGGGTACCAGGAGAAGGTTTTTTTCCCAGGAGGTGGTCAGGCCCTGGACAGGCTCCCCAGGGAAGTGCTCACAGCACCAAGGCTGCCAGAGCTCAAGGAACATTTGGACAACACTCAGGCACAGTGTGGGATTGTTGGGGTATCCTGGATAGGGCTGAGAGTTAGACTTGATGATCCTGACAGATCTAACTCAGCATATTCTGTGATTTTCTGAAAGCTGTTTCTGGTTTCCTTTCACAAGAGCAAAAGCAGCAATCTTACATGGTCTGTACATTTTAGCTATCTGATATATTTTTCAAGTAATCATGCATTCTARAAAATACAAAGGTATAAAAGACTTTGAGGTGCCTCATGCATTCTGTATAGCTGATTATGTGATATATTATTTTGGGATAGGAAAAAGTTTGTAGTTCCTTATCTTCTGAGGCAGAGAAGAAGAGTGGAAGCTCATTTGTGAGCAGTTCACATTTCTGTAGTTCGTCTGATTTCAGGTTCTTTGTGGCTTTGTAGTGCAAGAGCAGCAGAGTCAAGGTGGGCCCTTGGGCTTGTATTCCACCAAACATCTTCAAGTGTTTTAAAAAAAATCTCCCAAAGCACGAGTATTAGGAATAAGGGCAAAATAATTGAAGCTAAGATTGTAGGGTGAAMTGATTGGCTTCAGTTTACCTCTTGGGAAGGCTTGTGCACTTCAAACATTGTATCTTTTGTTTCAATGATAATGAAAATTAAATCTTTGGGACTTCTTGTTAATTGAAAATGTTCTGTATAGAGTGTTCTTAAACAGCAGAAATAAAATCGTATGCCCTTTTTCAAAGAAACTTATGTGTAATCTCGTATTATGTTTCAGTTCTTTGATAGTCGTTGGGATGTTTTCATACCTGAATACTTTTTTCTCCCTTAGGTGAGTGGAATCAAGAGTCTCTATGAGTCTGAACTGGCTGATGCTCGAAGAGTTCTGGATGAAACTGCCAAAGAGAGGGCTAGATTACAAATTGAAATAGGAAAACTGAGAGCAGAACTTGAGGAGTTCAATAAAAGGTGAGGAGAGTATTCCTTTTTTTTGTCTTTTAATGAGAAGGGGCAATATTTGCTGTGGAAATATTACTGATGCTTCTTTAAATGCCTTTTAGAAGCAGGTCAGTGAAAAGATACGGGCTTGTCAGAGAGAAAATCCTTCAGCTGGTTGGTACAGCTGGTCAGAGCACATAATTTCAGCTGTATRTACACAAATGTATTTGTAGATGTAAGATGAATATCATATGATTTGAGGCACAAACAAATGGCTGTTCCTGCTTTGTCTTGTCCTACCTCCCCTTATGTGAACCCACGTGTGTGCAGCTGCTTGGCAAACTGGATTGAGAAGGTGATCTGGATTAAAACTGATCCATCCAAGGAGGGCTAATTCATGATTTTTATTGTTTGGTTCATTGTGTGACTTATGGGAGAAATGGGAGAAAAGGGAAGGGGTGGCCCTGAGCAGTTTGAGAATATGGAGGCAGTGTTACCTTGAAAAGACATGAAGCTACAGTGTAAATGTGCTGGGAAAAGTACTGAAATTTTTTAAACTGCTGTTCAGTTTGCATCACGGAGAATTGGCATAATAAACTAGTTCCTGAAGCCAAGYAAAATCCATTATATAAATTTCCATGGGAATTTTCGTGATCAAATAGCAGTCAAAACTTCATTTAAAAACAATATATGTGGTGGCAAAATCAATTTTTGCTTCTAATTGAATTTTGGTGCCTGTTTTAATGGATAAGATTTGGGAATTACAGATTTTCCTGAGCAGGTCACTATGTACATCACCTGTTTATGAATGTTGTCAGCTATAAAATAGCTTTTATATATATATATATATATATATATTTATACTGTCAGTACCACTACAGGCCTACTGTAAGTCTCTCTTCATTTGCAACTAAGGGTTTATGAAAGGACTTAAGTGTTTCCCTCCCTTGTCTTTTTTTTTCTGACTAGCCTGTTGATTTATGATACAGTATTTTGTGTTTTCTCTGTAAACTTCACTGGATACTCATTTTCTATGCTGGGCCCTCTTTAAAATCAGCCACTGGAGATATTTTTGGACTTTGCACTAAAACCGCTATCCAAATATGAAATAGTGATGGTGTAAGCATCTGTATTTGAGTGAGTCAGTGTAAAGCCTGTTGAAGCACAACCAGTACCACAGTCCTGGATGTGGTCAGACAACCTGTGCTTTGGTGTTTATGGACTTGGTTAGCTCAGCTTTTGCTAACCATGAAAAACCTCTCTGGAAACTAGGTCAGCTGTAAAACCCCTGAAGTGCAATGAGGTGAATCCCACCCAGCCCTACTGGGATGTTCCTGTTGGGACTGTTTTTCCACTTCCAAGCCTCATGGCAGCAGTCTTGGCATTTATTTTATATAGTATGTCTTTCATGGCAGTTGGCATTATGTGGCCTTTAAGCTTGTCTCTCTTGTCTCGTGGTAGCAAGTACTCTTCTTGCTTGGCTTTTAAAGCAAACTCCAGAAGAGAGCAGCACTAGTAACTCAGAATTTGGTTCACCTCTCCTGTTCTGCAAGATGGTTTTTCTCTGTTTTGGTTAAGGTATGTTTGTAAGGAGTATCTTCACTTGGCAGGTAATGAGAATCCAGTTGATTTTTATTCTTTAGACTTTTGATARCACTAAGAGATTTTAGAAATACCTTGCTGTAGAAAGTTGTGCATGTAAAGTGATGGAGATGGTGATTCACTTGGAYCACCTCCCTCATCCTTTGGACAACTCAGTTGCCCCTTACCAGTCACTTCAATGACCAATTCTCCCAAACTAATTTAAACTTTTTGGTTTTTTGTCTTCTGAGATAGATGAGAAAAAACACCTGGTTTTCTGTGTTTCTCTCTGTTTTTACGTTTCATAGCAATAGAGTTGAATTCTTCAGCTTTAGAGTTTCTTCTACCAAATTTCTTGTAGTCCATTGAGATGCTTGTATTGTACTTAGAGTGTTCTCAGGGTGTCTAGCTTGTGATGTGGCCAAATTTTAAATATGACCCTTGCAAATGCAACTTTTGAAAGTCTTTGCAATATGCACTTGACATCTAGCTCATTACTGAAGCTTCCGTGTCTATTCAGACAGTCACATGGTGCTTCTCTCAGACCAATTTTGCTTTGAGATACAGAAAGACATATATAGAAATGTGTGCTCTGAAGTCCAGTACACTGGCAGAAAAACCTTGTTCTTTCCTAGACCACATAGTATTGCAGGCGTATAGTGGAAGAGTAGGTTATTGTATAATTTTATATTCACTACTTTTACCTCTCTCTTTCAAGCTTATGGTAGAGGAGAGATTTAAGGATGCCAGCATGGTCTGGCCAGGGGGGAACCCAAATATTGCCATTCCACTGTTTGCTTGGAATGGGTTGGGTTGCTGGGATCAAGCTGATAAATTGCCCTCGAGACATAAGATCCGAACACAGTCAACCTACTGCTTTAAGAGCAGATTCCCCCTTTCTTGTTTTCTCCCAAAGCCTGGGTTTGTGAGCATGGAAAGTCCTGAAGATACTCCAGGGAGGCCACAGGGTGTGGTTGGAGATGGTGACATCAGGCCTAGTTTGTGTCCATAGGAGCCTGAGGCTTACCCTGCTTTTAATTCCTTCTTGTCTACTTGCACTATTTCAACTAGTAAAGCAGCTGATGAACCTGCAGCAAGAACCTTGGATGGGATGCAAGGATTTGGAACGGGGCCTGTGGTCTAATAAAGAGCAAGATTTTCTGTGAATGTACTGGAATTCAGAGCACACACTTCTGTGTATGTCTTTCTGTATCTTGTTCAGCTACTGACAGATGACAGTACTTCAGGGTTCTATGTGAGTGCAAATTCAGCTCCCAGGGTTTGGATTCTGGAGCACATATTTTGTTCAGTTCAGATTTTTTTTCTCACTGTGTTGCCTATGTTATAACATTTTCTGGGGGATTTTTAGTGTTTGGGATAACTGGACATAATTTTGCCTAGTAAGTCAATAATAATCATCCCAAGGCATTTTCTAGAGTATGTATTGGATTGAACCAAAGGTCTATCTAGTCTGTTAACGATCTTTGTTAAAATCCATTCATGTAGAGAAGAGAAGAATGTAATATGCATAGCAACAGTTCTCTGTAATGCTGTTCCAGTCTTCAGCAATTCCCTTCAGCTAAGGGACTTCCTGATGTCCAGCTGGATTCTGTATGATAGCCATCACGGGTGACCAGTATCCTGAGACCAGCTGTTTGTGGAGTTCTTAGATATTGCAAGGGGATTCTGAGCTTACCTACATACTGTATAAACATGTTCTTCAATCTTCCTGTCCAGTTGCATTTGTCCATTTATCCCTTTATTTTTGTTTTCTCCTATATATTTCCTAAGGTATTTCTCTTTAATGATCTCTTTTTTCAAGTGGAAACATCTTACTGCTTAGTTGCTTCTACTCCTGCTCTGTGCTTTCAATAACATTTTATCCTCTCTGTCATTTTCCCTGTTTTAGTGTATCCTCTTGGGAAGGAAGGCTGCAGAATTGGAACTTCAGCCAGTATTCAGGATGCTATTGTGCCATAATAGCGTTCCATATCTTGTTCTGTATTTTATTTATGAATAATTTCTTAAACACAGTTGCATTTTTGAGTGTTTCTGAGCTGCTGATATGTAAGGAAGGGTAAGCTCCAGACATTATTTTACATCAGACTCAAGAGATGTCTCCCAAGACCTTAGTGAGTGGCAGGAGTGCTTCAGAACTCAGAAGTGTTTTGTGGTAACCAGATTTGCTGTTACCTCTACCTCTTTGAGTAGAGATGTGAAGTAAGGCCCTCTCAGAGCCTTCTGTGCAGGGTTCCTACCTCTGCCTACACTCCTTATCCTCCTTTACAAAAGCCAAATTGACTCTGAATTTTCAAATTTTACATTTATGCATATGCATGCTACGATTCTTCATTGATGCCTTTGTCTAATTTTACCTCTACAATTATCAGAGAAGGATCTTGTGGGGGGACTTTATCCAAGGTCTTACAGAAGTCCAGGCAGACAATATTTATAGCCCTTCCACGATGAAGTGACTCCATCAGTGGACAATAGAAAGCTGCTAGGTTGGGCAAGCAGAACTTGGAGAAGCTGTACTGGATGTCTTGAATCACTTCTCTATGCTCTGTGTGCCTTAGCAGAGCCAGGAGGATCTGTTCCGTGATGTTCCCAGGTACAGAAGTGTGGTTGACAGGTCAGTAATTCCTAGAGTCCTTCTTCCCACCCTTTTGGAAAGTGGATGCAATGTTTTCCTTTTTTCTCTTATCTGGGCCTTCATCTGACTGCCATGACTTTTCAAATGTCATCAGCCAGTTCCTCTGGACTCTGGGGTGCAACTTGTCAGGTCCCATAGACTTGGGTATATTCAGGTTTCTCAGGTGGTCAAAAACCTCACCTTCTCTTACAGTGTGAACAATTTTGCCTTCCCAGTTCCAGTTCCTGTGGTCCATCTACTTGAAAGTTTGCCTTTGAAGGCTGAGGCAAGATACTTACCATCAACCTTCTTCTCATCTGTTATTACTACTTTGCCAGTCTTGTTCATTGAAGAAGTACACTTGCTCTGACCATCTTTTTCTGACATACCAATGGAAGCTTGTTATTCTTGGTGTCCCTTGCCAAATTTCACTTCAGCTGCACCTTGGCCTAATGACCCTATCCCTAGACAACCGGGCAATGTCTTCATGCTCTTACCAGGATACCAGTCCATACTAATACTACCTTTGCATTATCTTCTTGCCTTTTAGTTTGACCTGCTAGTCTCAACTCATCCATGCTGGTCCCTAGCCTTCCCATCCTCAGGATCAAGAGTTCTTGTGCTGTGGAAAATTTCCTAAAAGGTCTTCTCCCTTGGCCCTGGGGGCAGTTTCCCACAAAGTGCTATTGACTAACTCCTAGAACAGTAGGCAGTTTGCTTTCCTAAAATTCATTCTTCATTACTCTTCACTTGACCTATGTCTCTCAGGACTGCAAACTCCTGGACTGCATGATCACTGCAGCCCGGGCTGCCTCCT